TGTGGAATCTGGTGTGTCTTCGTGGCAAGTGATGCCACTGTGAAAGGAGGAACTATTTACCCAATTGGAGTGAAAAAACAGTTAAGAGCCCAAGAAATTGCCATGGAGAACAGGCTGCTGTCTGTGCACCTTGTGGACAGTGGAGGAGCATTCCTACCACTGCAGGTAATGCTGGCATCACTGCAGAGGAAAAAACATCCGTGTTATTTCATCCCTTTGGCTAATCTTGCATCTACTCAGAGTTTAGAATCTTGAATGAGTGTGCAGAGCTGCTTTTCTGTCTTTAATAAACCAGTACATAGTGTGAGAGGCTTCAGAATCTATAGTTTTCTCTGTTTTATTGCCTTGTTTGTGCTAGCAATGCACCAACCTCCATGGCCTTTAAAAAGGCAATTTTTACAGTTCTTAATACAAAAGGAGAATTTGCACAGGTTCCTTTCCAATGGAAAAGGTCATCCTATGACAGAGATTGTGGTTGTTCCCTGTCCACACTGAAAGCAAGCACCGAGCAAAAGCTTTTATCTGACTTCAAGAGTTATATCAAAAACTAAAAAGGGGAACTGCTAAAGGCATTTTACAGATAAAGTAGGAGCATGAGCCTCCACTTCTCCATGTTTACAGTCTCAGTTTGTGTAGAATAAATTAGTTTCACAAAAATCATGAAACTTACCTCTTTTGAAACACATGGGTGTTTTTTTGGGGATTTCACAATGTATAAGGAAATAAATACCATAGTGAATGCTGTATGTGAAAGGTTTGGGTGTGATTGTGAGTGAGGACCTTCCCAGGGTAGGTTACAACATATTTGGGAACAAACAGAGTGAAGAGGAGGCACCAGCTTTCATAGTTAATATTAAAATTCACTTTCTCTTTTCTCTGTACATCAGTCAGAGCTGTTTCCTGACAAGCTGCATGGCGGCAGGATTTTCTACAATGAAGCAATCATGTCTGCCATGGGAATCCCTCAGGTACAGTGTCATGGGGGCGGCAGTGAGGGTGGTCTGTGTGATCAATTGAATTCTGAAAAAAATATTTGTTCCAGTACAATTTCTAGGAACAACTCTCAGATGTGCAGAAAAACTCCTAAATCTATTTATGGGGAAGGGAGACTCAAATGGTATCGAATCATGGAATTGTTTAGGTTGAAAAAAATCTTGAAGATCACCAAGAACTAACTGTCAGTGCAGCACCACCACCATGTTCACCACTAAACCATGTTCCCAAGTGTTTTATCCACGATTTTTGAAAACTTCCGGGGATGGTGCCTCCACTACTTTCCTGAGAAGTGTGTTCCAATGCTTTAAACCCTTTCTGTGAAAAAAAGTTCCCCAATTGCTGTGGGTATTCAAGCGAGCGGGAAAGAACAACACATCTATAAGATGCAGATTCAATCCGTTTTATTATCAGAAGGCCACACAATATATATTCTTTTTAGTCCTGGACATGCAGTCACGAGCGCAGCACACCTCCATGATTGGTCAGTCTGCATTGTCCACGCGCCTCAAGCAGTCCATCCATTGGCGATCCTTAAAACACA